TTGCATTTCCTGTGTTCAAACTGTTTGTTTCTCTGATATGTTGTTGGTGAATAGACAACTCTTTCCTCTGAGACTTCAGGCAAAGTGGGGTTAAGTGTCTTGCCCAGGGACACACAACGACAGCAGACTTTAGTGCAAGCAGATGACAGGGTCGTGGGGGGATCAAACCCACGACCAACTGAGTCACTAATACTAAAGTATTGATAAGAGCCATGTAAGGATTGACCAATCAGATGCCATAATAACCATCTTAGATACATGTCTGTCCCTGTTACAGCACAAAGCTAACACCGTCAGAACAAAAAATATTAATTATTATCAAAAGTAAGGCAATGTGGGTGAAGGACACAGCAATAGTTCGCCATTTTAAAGGCGTAGCTGCCGCACTGTGGCACCTGGTGTTCCCATAGGTCTCCCATCACAGCACTAACCAATGTACTAACCCTGCTAAGCTTCAGAGGAATTTGGCTTCAGATAGCTTATGCTCAAGTCGGCTTCTTCCGCATCAAGAAGTCAGCTCAGCCCACAGCTAATTTGCAGTCTATGAACAGATTGATGTTTGGGCAGAACTGGGATCATCTTGTGCAAGAATGTCTGGGCATTTTTGGGATTAAAATATTATAATATCATAAATAAGTCATAAATCTTTCATAAAACTTGTTGTGGTTCTGTGGGTACATGCTCAGCCCCAGCCCTTCCTTCCTCTGCTCCTCTGTTTACGACTCTCAGTATCACGCTCTACTACAAATAACCTTTGAATATCATTACTTTATTTATCATTATTATATTTACTTCTTGACAAAAAACGACATCTTTCTCCAGATTTCTTTTCAAATCACATTTTTCTCACAAATAAAGATGAACGAAACTGCACTTATCTCTTGGGAACAGTGGGGGAGATGAGGCATTTTGTAACATCTCCAAATTAAAGCAACACTGGTAGGCCACTTCAAATTTTTCTCTATATTTCATTTGATCTTGGAAACTAAGCAGGGCAGGGCCTGGTTAGCACTGTGATGGGAGACATATGTGTCACAATAGAATGGCTCAGGCTGTTGTCATTGTGTCCTCAGTCAAAATACTCCTCCCACATTAGGAGTTATACTCCAGACCTGTGCTTTTTGATCCATGTCGACCCAGTGGGGAAGCTTAGCGTGTTGTTTGGACCCGTGTCAGCCTTTCAGCGCGGCAAAGACAGGACCGTGTCAAAATAAAAAGGTCAAACCAGACATTAGACTTTCAAAATCTCAAGTCTTTTAAAGTCTCAGCACAGTGCACCCAGGACCAGCACTTAGGTGAGGGCAAGTTTATTTGTATAGCACACTAATCATATACAACCACACATAACCGCTTACCCTTATTTGAATAACGGTAACTGTCATGTTTTACTAGCAGTTATTGGCTCTGACGACTCTCTTTCTCTGGTCTCTCTCTCTCTGGTCTCTCTGGTCTCTCTGGTCTCTCTCTCTGGTCTTTCTCTCTGGTCTCTTTCTCTGGTCTCTTTCTCTGGTCTTTCTCTCTGGTCTCTCTGGTCTGTCTCTCTGGTCTCTCTCTGGTCTCTCTCTCTGGTCTATCTCTGGTCTATCTCTGGTCTCCCTCTCTGGTCCCTCTCTGGTCTCTCTCTCTGGTCTCTCTCTGGTCTCACTCTCTGGTCTCCCTGGTCTTTCTCTCTGGTCTCTCTGGTCTCTCTGGTCCGTCTCTCTGGTCTCTTTCTCTGGTCTCTCTCTGGTCTCTCTCTCTGGTCTCTCTCTCTGGTCTCTCTCTCTGGTCTCTCTCTGGTCTCTCTCTCTGGTCTCTCTCTGGTCTCTCTCTCTGGTCTCTCTCTCTGGTCTCTCTCTCTGGTCTCTCTCTCTGGTCTCTCTCTCTGGTCTCTCTCTCTGGTCTCTCTCTGGTCTCTCTCTCTCTCTGGTCTCTCTCTCTCCGGTCTCTCTATAGTCTTTGCACTGCAGTGATGAGTTCCGAGGACTACTGCAAGTCTCTGCTCCTGTCCCTCAGCGTCGTGTCCTCTGTAGATGTATACAGTGTATGCATGGCTTTTGACAGCTGTAGCAGCGCTCAGACCTACAACCAACAGGTTTGATTTCTCCGAGATTGCACTTCATCAGTCACGAGTTTAGGTGGTTAGAAAAGTGTTTAATGTGAGGGATTTTACAGCCTTCAAACACACAGCTGCCATTTTGTGGATTTTGCATATCATGTATTCCTTTTAGAGCGTGACCCCCGCGATAAACAAGGGACCACTGTATAACCTTCTTTCAGGATGCAAGAGAGAGTGACAGATAACCCTGCTGTATATTGTACATTCACACAAATTCACTTTCTTACAATTCATTTGGACACTAACATGACTTTAGGACAATAGTTTCTTGTAAATGAACCAAACACATCTAAATATATGTTGAGGAGACCGTCTTCTGCCACAGGACCGAAGAGGAATGTCTTTTTCACTCGAGCACAAACTTTTGCCAAAGGCTTCCTCGTCTCGGCGCCATGGAAACAGAGGTGACACGTCCGGAATCAGACAAACGGAGCCGTCTGTGTGTTTGGAACAGCCTGCCTGCCTGCCGCCATCGCGTGGTCGCCATGGTAACGAGACTCGCCGCTCAAATCTTTCCCATGATGCTTTGTGCTCGGGACCTTTTATCTGTTTAACAAGAGGACTGGACCTGGACAGTATTTTTAGACCAGGACTCAACGTGATCTAGTTTTAATGCATTCTCTTAACAACTTCAAAATCAGAGTCTTAACTAGGAAAGCACTCGGAGAGCACAGACCTCCACCAAGAGGAGTAGTTCCCTTCTGTATCACCTTCAGAATGTATTAAATTCATCCTCGTCCCATATCTGAGCTTCACTGAACTTTTTGTAAAAACCCACTCACAACTTTTTATGGATCTTCAACAACAACTATTTATTACATACATACACACAAAAGCTGTCATGGATCTTCCTGTTGTGTTTTATTTTGAAATCACCTTTTCTTGTCTTTGTTTCAACAATTACTTCCTGTCTCTGATCACTACCCCACCCTTGATGTTTCTCTTTATATTTACAGTCTATGGTCTCACTTGTGTCCTGTGTATTGTCTCCTTGCATCCTTGCCTTTTTCTATAAAAACTCCTAAATCGCCGACTGCACCGATGTCTGCTGTCGTTGTGTCCTTGGGCAAGACACTTAACCCACTTGCCTTGATTTGTGTATGCATCAAACTGAAATTTTCCCCTTTGTGGGATGAATAAAGGACATTCTTCTTCTTCTTCTTCTTTAAAGTAGACATTTAAAGACACTAAACAGTTATAAGATGCAGACAGAGACAGCAGAAAAAAATCTATACATACACACAAGGACTTAGAGAGAGAGAGAGACCCCTGCAGTCAGAGCCAACCAACTACATAGTCCGGTGGTTAGTCCATTCACATACAGAGGGACGTGGTCGTGGGATAAAAGGTGACCCCCAGGGAGATACAACTGGACGCAAGGGACCTCTGAGAAAAATACATACCAACATATTGAATGTGTCCTATTCAAAGCTGTCATAAAACAAACAATTCTATACATTTAATAGACATTTTGTATTCTTAAACACCGTTCAGGCTGTTGAATAATTACAAAGAAACACATTGGTGTGAGGTGCAGTGATGCAGAGGCCTGGATTGATCAATACATGGATGAGATTCTCACTGGAGACACCCTGTTCTAAACTCTCGTGCATTGTTTAGTGTGGATCCAGTCTCTGTGTGCTGGTGTAAATGCTAACAGGCTTCAGAGCATGAGAGGAGTATATAATGTTGTCTGTGAAAACGGCTTTTGTCATGACTCTGCAGAATCTAAATGTGTTTCTGCTGCTGAGAAACCAACTCATTCCCCTCCAGAAATCGATACAAGAACACGGACACATTACAGCTGTTTCATGGATGTACATTGGGGGGTAGTCGTGTAAGATTATGTGTTTGGTTGTTCTTCTTCTCAATAAAAGTTTAACTGCATATTTGGTCTTTTTTTGTCAGTGGATTGTTCTATTTCAAGTCAAATCCGCTAACAGTAAAGCTAGAGTCCCCCATTTCAAATCCACAAAACATGGAACGGCATCATAAACAGTATCCAATTAATTTCTTGCCCTCAAAACAGTAAAACTATATTTTTTAAAGTAATCATTGAACTGCTCTGATGTGGGAATCTCAAAGACGAGTTTCTATTGTCATAATCGAACATATAAAACATGTATTTTTTAACTCACAAATATACCAATGACTGAATAAACAGTGTTTGCGTTCTCATTCATAATCTCTGCATTTATATTTCTGCTTCTATGTGGGTGTAAACTGAAATGACAATCAGAGGACTGAGTGACAGAGACCCGAGTGACTGTAGGACCACCACAAGAGCAATATGGTCTATCCCTCTGGTCCAGTCCAATATGCATAAGCATCTCTATGTCACAGTGCTTCCCCCGCGCTGGTGCTGAAGAGGACAGCGCCCATAGCTGCTACTACTGCGCCTCATCCACCCACTCCACTCAAACTTTACCCAAGAAAACACCTTGATGATCTCAATTTTTAATATTCCTTCATCACCACTGACTCAGTCTACACCCAACTCCAACTCTACCACAGTCTCAGCAGTTTTAATTCCTGGGAACAAAATCTGGAATACATCCAAATCTAACGCAAGCCACAGGTATGCATTCAATTATTCTTGTATGCAATATTTAAAAGCTTCAACCACGCATGTGCATTGGATGTATGTGTCTGTAGTGAAAAATCCAGGCTTAAAAACGCGTCTATTTCATGACTCAGCGTCGCTTTTTCATTTCCAGTCATTCAAAACCATAGCGGTGCGCAATCTCTCTCTCATTTCTCAATCTCTTGTTGCAGATCTCGCTCTCTGGAGAGCTTTTACGCATCATCCAACAAAGGTGCGGTGTCTGTATTGTCCAAGAGAGAGATATATATATATAATTCAGGCGAGACCCACGCATCTTTCTCCCCCGGTTTAAGAGCCATGTCTCGCGGCGTGGAAGTGGCGTCCCTCAGCCCACCCATGACCAGGCAGGGGCAGTTCTGTGGAGTCTTTTGCCCCGTGGATGGAGTCACTGGAGGGGTCGGACTGGGTTTGGACGCGTGCCGGGGGCGCGGTGGTGCGGACGGGCAGACGGAGACCTCCCAGCCCAAGAAGAAGGTCCAGATACGGGAGAGCAAAGGCAAAGAGGCGTTGCAGAATTTGGACGCTAGGGTAAGAGCTAAATCAGTCAAAATATTTTGATTTTTGAAATATTTATTTGAGTGAAAAGCGAGATGAGCGGGCTGTCTGATGTGTGAGTGATTTACGAGTTTGTGCGCAAAAGTTGCAACGCCTACATTTCCCATGATGCATAGTGATGTAATACAGTAAAGGGAGACATGAGGGAGTGGCAGATTTATTCCTGCTTTTTACTATTGTTTAATCTTTAAATAACGAGAAAACATATTATTAGATAATATAAATACAGTGGTCTTTGACTGTGTCTTGTGCTGATATTGATTTTAAGATGGGAAAACCTCTATTGCAGCAATATTGCAAATTAATGAATAAAAAGGAGTGGCTGGTGTCGTAAAAATGCTCCCTGTCGTAGTGCTGTTTGGTTGCCGAGGTAATAGTTCAGGTTCAATGCAAGAAATTGTTTTATGCACCAAGGTTTGTTTTGGGTTGATCATTCTAAACAATCAATTATAGCTAAGTTTCAAATTTAAGTATAAATTCATCTTTGACTCTACGGAGCACAGGGACCGGCCTCCTGCTGGGACTCTGAGAAGCACAGGGACTGGCCTCCTGCTGGGACTCTGAGGAGCACAGGTACTGGCCTCCTAATGGGACTCTGGTGAGCACAGGGACTGGCCTCCTGCTGGGACTCTGAGGAGCACAGGGACTGGCCTCCTGCTGGGACTCTGAGGAGCACAGGGACTGGCCTCCTGCTGGGACTCTGATGAGCACAGGGACTGGCCTCCTGCTGAGACTCTGAGGATCACAGGGACTGGCCTCCTGCTGGGACTCCGAGGAGCACAGGGACAGGCCTCAGAATTAAACATGGGGAAGCAGCATTTCAGAGTTATGCATCTAAAATGGAAAAATCTTCCTGAAGAAAGTGAGACAGGCTTCTGCTCCATGTTAAAAACAGTTCTGTTTAGCTGTGCTTACAACCGAAGGATTGTATCTTCACTCTTTTTAATGTACAATTATTATTGCATATTATATGATTTTAATGCCTTGTGTGCCTATATTTTGTTTAGCAGTTTGAGTTGCCTTGTGTATGACCTGTTCTATACAAATAAACTTGCTTTCCCTTAATTAGCCAAATAAAGTATAATAATGTGTGACTAGACCAATTGGGAAGAGCATAGTGTTTGATCAAAGGATTTATTTCAATCGTGTACAGCACATTATTATACATCAACATAAACGACAAATAACAGTTCATAAAGAGGTTGGATGAAGCAAACAAACATATGAATCCAATCCTCCATCATCCATTCAACACAATACAAGATGTGATTTGTAATTCAGGGTTTGAGGAATTATCAATTTCTTAAAGGTGCAGTAAGCGATTTTGTTAGCTTAGCCGTAGCACCAACTTCAAACCTCTCCCCCCTCCCCTCCCTCTCCACCAAACCAAACATCCAGAATTTTCTTTTCTTTGTCACAACAGGGAGAGTGGGTGGCAAATGTGAAATTGGCATTTTCTGTTCAGCCATTTTAGGTTTTAGAAAATAATCCGATAACTCAGGTGTGGGCACTCGTAAGAAACAGGAATAGGGTGAAGGGGATAAACGCATCCCATTGGTTTGTTGGGGATGAATGAATCCCATTGGTTTATTTTCATTGGTCTGCTCGAAAATATTTTTTATTAATATTTGGAGACTATAGGCATCTGGTCAATTCCATTACTGATTGAAAACACATGATAACTTGACTAAATTTAGGGTTTAGGGACGTTTTCCCACAAAATTTTAAAAAAATGTGTCTGGAAAAAATCCCTGTCTGCATCTTTAACCTGCATTTTATTTGGTCAACTAAACAGATCCGCGGATGGTGTAAGGGAAAAAAATGGTAAAAAGACAGTGTACTGAGCAGAGACTTCAAATCCACAACAAATCCACAAGAAACAAACCTACATTTCCAGTTACACAGTGTGGTGTAGCACAGTAGCTTCGGGAAGTATAACTGAGCTGCTGCTGCTATGCAAAATTTGGGTCGTTGCTGTTTGGTTTCCGTGGTAACAGTGCTGGTTTAATGCAATGAAACAGTGTGTATGCTGGTTTTGGTGAAATGTGGTATTAGTCATGAACTCCACGGCTGTGTTTTTAAAGCTATAATTTAAATGAGTGTGGGAACAAATCACAAAAATCCCGTTCTATAATTTTTATGTTTTGGGTTGATCCATTTTAGATCTATATGAGTGGCACGGTAGCGATTCCTGGGTTCAGTTCCACCTCCAGCCCTTCCTGTGTGGTGTTTGCATGTTCTCCCTGTGTCTACGTAGGTTTGGTTTAGTTTCCTTGACTACTAAAAAACATGTGCAATAGGTATGAATGTAATTAGTGTTTGAATGGATGGTGTGGACGGAAAAATATCTGAACCCCAAAAACTTTGAAGTGCATTGGGTGACCTATGTCTGTGAAATGCGCAGTAAAAATAAAGATTACTCACCATCTTTTTAGTGAAAGAATTCCTCGTATGAATTTGAGATGAGTTCAACTGGAACTAACTAGTACAATAGGATTACAATGGCTTGACAGGCTAAACAAAACAAAAAAGAAAGACAAGAAAAAATATTTTCTCCTCATTTCTCTCAGAAGTGTTCTTCCAGCTCACAGTGGGTCACTGGGCCAGACTTTTCATGCAATATTCAACACTCATAAACAATTAAAACTTTTCCCATTATGTGGAATATTTCATTGAAAGACTTCAAGCAGAGTGTACGTTGTAGAAAAATTGAAGCATGAGAATAGACAAAATACCTACACCCCCAGCCAAAGACAATGCAACACAACAGGCCTATGGAATATGTTCATATATTGTGTTTTTCCATACAATATTGTTCCTCATCAAAAACAGACCTGGACTTGGAGTAAGGAACTTCTGGTGCAAATATGTAACTCGCCCCTTCGGTCTAAAAGCTTCTTTCTCAGTCCTGCAGGAGTATGACTGAGCTGTTTCCTGCCTTTTAAACAAAAGTATTTCTCAAGTGAAATTACGCTGAAACATGACCGTGTTTACAACCGGTAATTTTCATATTTGTAAAAAAAATAAAAAATAAAAAATAGCAATGGGATAGTGCAGGTTGACAGTATTAACACTTTTTCACCATATATTTTTTAAGACATTATTTCACATTCTAAAACATGACAAGTAAGACACTAAGTAAATAGTTTTATATCATGTTTATTGACCAAAAATAATGCAGAATATTGAATTTGATCTCTTCTTAATGTTTTGTGATTGGGATATCCCATTCCATTTGGGAGATTTAAATTTAAACAGCTTTTTGCAACTGACGTCCAAACCATTATTCATAATTAATATAATATATAACATTTAAAACTGGGGTATCCAGCTTTTTTTGCTTCATATACAGCGATTTGTTTGTCCCAACAGAAAACCACAACATTCATTCCTTTATCTTATTAGAAAATCATGTCTGTAAGAAAGAGCCCTGTGAGTCACTATTTGACACTTTGGGCAGAGCGCTGAGTGGCTGAATGAGGGTGGTCCTCTCATTAACACTTTTCTGTCTGAAAAAGCTGATCAAAACATGTGACAGAGGCCAAAAAATACATACATTTGAAAACTAGCGAATTAAGCTGTTTTAGAGCCAGGAACATGTAGTTTGTCACATAGTTCTTAAAAGATAGGTACCCCAGCTTTAAATCTGACAATGCTGCCCTTTCGTTTTCCCCTTTGTGCTTTGTTCCTGTCTACTACTATTGACATGTAAATGCATTAACTCTATGGACCCCAGAGAAGCAGAGACTTTGAGATCAATGCGTCCATCAAGGCTTCCATTGTTGGGCGCCTGTCATAAGTCTAATGTAACCAACCTTCTGTGGCGAGGCGTTCGAGGTCCCACGAGCGCCGTAAATCTCGGTTTGCAGCAGGATCCAGGGGAGTGACTTGCATCTTTAGATTTGTGGGCGAAGGACAGAACAAAGTGAAGTTTGAATATCATGAACACAAGAGCTTTTTATTACCATTATAGTTTAGCTTCAATAATTGTATACTTTGTGAAGAAAAGAAGTGGGAAAAAAGTAGAAAGGAATTCTGCACCTGATGACATCATGGGAGGGAGATCGCGTATTCATGCAGGGGAAAGCCAGATCCTGTCATACATCTTAAGCTAAGCAGGGAAATGCCTGGTTAGTACTGTGATGGGAGACCTCTAGGAACACCAGGTGCCACAGTGGGGTGTTTTCGCTCGTATAGTGGCAAATATTTGTCGTGTTCTTAGGCAGGACACTTCACCCACATTGCCGAGAATGAGTCTGGGGCGTGCATGAATGATTGGTGGTGGTGGTGGTGGTTGTGGTGGTGGTGGTGGTGGTGGTGTGGGGGGGGGGGGGGGGCTAATGGTACTGCTTGCCTTGCTTCTGTAAATGTGCCCCAGGGCAGCTGTAGCTACAGTAGTTTAGAACCACTATGTATGGAGTGAATTAATAATAACATGGGAAGCTGTATAAAACCAATTTATTATTATCATCATTTGAGTTCTTAATGATTTTCATCAAATACATTTTTGTAATACATAAGTAAATAAGCAAACCTCGTTAAATCTTGATTTGGGTGTATAATTAAGTTTTGGTTTAAAACTAAACATGGCTCGGTAACATCCCTCTGGTGATGTCATCTGCAAACATGAATAAGAAATGTAAAAAAATCATGAAATCTGAAATCTTATCATTGTGTTTGTGAGAAATCATATTCCAAATCTGTTATACATGTGAAAACTTGTGATACTAAACTGTTTTTATACAGTTTTTGTGACTGGTTATATGGATTTAATTACATACAGTAGCTCCCATTTGTGGTTTGAAAATTAGGTACTGTAGCTTTAAAGTTTTTAATGGGGGTTGTTGCATGAGTAATCCATTGTGTCCTCTTCAAGCTCCTATTTTCACCACCTACTGTTCTTTACTTCCTGTGAGAGAAAACGACCCTCACTCAGCCAATCAGCTTCCAGCCCAAAGCGTCAAACAGTTTCTCAATTCAATTCAATTCAGTAAATTTTTATACAGCCGTAAATCACATCAGCATTTTGTTAACAATGTCGTCGATTTGCCAACAACAGATCAGAGAATCAATTGGTTCAAACACTGGAAATGCACTAATAACCAATACATAGGTCCATATAGGGAGCGGGAAGACTATCTATCCATAAATGTTGATAAATGTTAAAAATGTCCTGAAATGTCCCGAATCATCACTGTCCTTAGACCCTCCTGCTTCGTTAAGAAACTGATTTGAATGTCTCATATGTCTAAAGAGGGATGCAGTCGGCTCTGGTGCTCGACTGACAGCCCATCACTTCAATGTTCAGTGGATGGATGGTCCAATCTCTGACAGAGGAGCTCCTGACCTAGAATTCACTTTGCTGGAATAGAAAAAGTTGGCGTTTTGATCAAGGCAATTCCATTTATCTACGAATGACAAATAGACAGAGCATGTGTACGCTTTTGTTTTTTGTTGACAAGTAGATATGGCAATTGAAGGCATCAGAATACATTCATTTGATTGGACCATACACTACAAGAATCAGAATCAGAATCATTTTTATTGCCACGTAAGTAACAGGAGGTCACAGACTAGGAAATTGCTTTGGCTCAGTGCAACAGTCAAAAAGAGATAATAAAAATAAGAATAAAAAACACTTCTAAAGAATAAATTTAAATTTAAAATAGAGTTACAGTTACTATTTACAATATACAAGTGCACATGGTGCACACAATGTAAGGTGACAGCAGTACAGTGAAGTAAAGTGATGTATGATGGGCAGTAAAGTGACTTTAAGGGCGGGGGGACAGGTTAAGAAGTGTTCAAGAGTCCAACAGCAGAGGGGAAGAAACTGTTCTTGTGGCGGGAGGTTCTAGTCCTGATGGACCGCAGCCTCCTGCCTGAGGGGAGTGGTTGGAATAGTCCATGTGCAGGGTGAGAGGGGTCGGCTGTGATACGACCAGCCCGGCCTCGAGCTCGGGCGACGTACAGGTCCTGCAGCGATGGAAGGCTGCGGCCGATCACTTCCTCTGCAGAACGCACAATGCGCTGTAGTCTCTGTTTGTCCCTGACTGTGGCTCCAGCGAACCACACAGTGACGGAGTAGGTGAGGATGGACTCGGTGATGGCCGTGTAGAACTGCACCAACATCTGTGCAGGCAGCTTGGCTTTCCTGAGCTGCCGCAGGAAGTACATCCTCTGCTGGGCCTTCTTGATGAGGGAGTTGATGGTCGGCTCCCACTTGAGGTCCTGGGTGATGGTGGTGCCCAGGAAACGGAAGGACTCCACAGAGGTGATGGGGGAGTCCATCACGGAGGGTGGGGGCGGGGGGACAGTGCTCTTCCTGAAGTCCACAATCATCTCCACTGTCTTCTGGGCGTTCAGCTCCAGGTTGTTACCACTGCACCAGGACACCAGCCGGTCCACCTCCCTCCTGTAGGCGGACTCATCGTTGTTGGAGATGAGTCCAATGAGGGTGGTGTCGTCCGCGAACTTGATCAGCTTCACGGAGTCGTGGCTGGAGGTGCAGTGGTTGGTGTACAGGGAGAAGAGCAGGGGGGAAAGAACACAGCCCTGTGGGGCTCCTGTATTTATAATCCGAGAGTCCGAGACATTCTTCCCCAGACGCACTCGCTGCTTCCTGTCCGTCAGGAAGTCAGTGATCCACCTGCAGGTGGAATCGGGCACGTTGAGCTGGGAGAGCTTGTCCTGGAGCAGGGATGCCAGGATTGTGTTGAAGGCAGAGCTGAAGTCCACGAACAGGACCCTGGCGTAGGTCCCCGGGGAGTCCAGGTGCTGTAGGATGTGGTGGAGGGCCAGGTTGATGGCGTCGTCTACAGATCTGTTGGCTCTGTAGGCGAACTGCAGGGGGTCCAGGAGGGGGGAGGTGAGAGACTTGAGATGGGAGAGAACCAGGCGTTCAAATGACTTCGTGACGACAGACGTAAGTGCTACAGGTCTGTAGTCATTGAGTCCTGTGATCCTGGGCTTCTTCGGGACGGGGACAATGATGGAGGATTTGAAGCAGGCCGGGACATGGCAGGACTGCAGAGAGGTGTTGAAAATGTCCGTGAACACAGGAGTAAGCTCACTGGCGCAGTGTCTCAGAGTGGCCGGAGACACGTGGTCCGGGCCAGGAGCTTTGCGGGGGTGCAGCCTCAGGAAGAGTTGTTTAATCTCTTTAGCGGCTATTGTTAGGCTGGGGGCAGGGCTGATGGGTGGGTCGTTAGAGTAGTGGGGGGTGGGGGAGGGAGAGGTGTCAGGGGCAGCATCAAAGCGACTGAAAAATAAGTTCAGTTCGTCAGCTAGCTTGTGGTCGTCAGCACAAGGGGGGGCTTTGGGTTTGTAGTTGGTGATCTCCCGTAGGCCCCTCCAGACAGAAGCAATATCGTTGTTACCAAACTGCTCCTGTAGTCGTTCTCTGTGCCGGGACTTGGCTGCTTTCAGTTCTTTCCTGAACTGATATTTAGCTGCTTTGTAGCCGCTGCGGTCCCCCTCCCTGAAAGCAGACTCCTTTGCTTTCCTGAGCTGCCGGAGTTTAGCAGTGAACCAGGGTTTGTCGTTGTTATAGATGACCCTGGTCCTTGTTGGAATGATGCTATCCTCGCAGAAGTGAATGTATGACGTCACAGTGTCCGTGTATTCATCCAAACTATCTGTGGCAGCTCTGAAAAGGTCCCAGTCTGTAGATTCCATGCATGCGCGCAGCTCTTCCACAGCTTCATCAGACCACACTTTGGAGCTCCTCACTACAGGTTTCGAGAGCTTTAGTCTCTGTCTGTAAGCAGGAACCAGATGTATCATGGAGTGATCTGAGAAGCCGAGGGCTGGCTTGGGAACAGCGCGAAAAGCTCCGCGCACGGTGGTGTAGCAGTGATCCAGAGTGTTCTCCTCTCTGGTCGGGCATTTGATAAACTGTCTGTATTTGGGTATTGAATGACCAAACAACATTAAATGAAATGAATGTACGTTTTAAAGCTGGGATACCTAACTTTTAAATCACAAACAGTTAAATGGATTGATTCTCTGATCTGTGTTGGCGAATTCAACAGTTTTGTTAAGTCCTCCGAGACTACTGCTGTGATTTAGGGCTGTATAAGAATAAATACAATACAATACAATACAATTTATTCTTGTATAGCCCTAGGTCACAACAAAAGTCATCTCAGAGGACTTAACAAAACCATTGAAATCACCAACACAGGTCAGAGAATCAACAGTTAACACACATGAAAAATATAAAGCACACAAAGAAGAAAATGTCCATACATGTTGTAGAATGCTAAAGTGTCCTGATCATCACCAATCCTTTCTGTTGGACACTAACTGTCCAACAAGACCCTCCTGCATCGACAAGGAAAAACTCTTAAAAAACCCAGTGGGAAAAAGTGAGAAACCTTGGGGAGCACTAGGGAAACCCACAGGGAGGGAGACCCATATGAGAAAGGGATCCGCTCCTCCGGACGGACAGGCTAATGATCTAGGACCTAAGCTAGCTACAGAACGTGGACCAGTGGCCGCTGAACGTCCGCAGGTGTAGATGGAGGAGGCCAGGCTCAGAGATCCCGTCATCGTACCATGAAACAGACAATGGGACAACGGGTGAATAGCAATGAACAAACTACAGTCAGAATCCTAAAAATACTAAACAGATAAAGTAGATAAAGTAGGAAGGAGGAGAGGATAGTGCTCAAGTTACCATACTTCTCCCAGCAAACTCCCTATGCAGCTTGACTGACAGTCTGAGGAGTTTAGCCTTCCCCGAGTCTTACCTTCCTAGCCATATGCTAAACTAAAGAGGACTGTTTTAAACCTAGCCTTGAATAAAGAGATTCATGGATTGCACACCAGGTGTGCAAACCGATCAAAGCAAA